TTGGATAAATACCCAACAGTGGAATAGCTGGATCATATGGTGGTTCTATCCTTGATTTTTTGAGGAATCTCCATACTGTTTTCCATAGTGGCTGCACCAGTTTGCACTCCCACCAGCAGTGTATGAGAGTTCCCTTCTCTCCACATCCTCTCCAACACATGTTGTTTCCTGTCTTGTTAATTATAGCCATTCTGACGGGTGTGAGGTGATATCTCATTGTAGTTTTGATTTGCATTTCCCTGATAGTTAGTGATTTTGAACATCTTTTCATGTGTCTGTTGGCCATCTGTATATCTTCTTTGGAGAAATGTCTGTTCAGGTCTTTTGCCCATTTTTTAATTGGGTTGGTAGTTTTTTTGTTGTGCCCATCAAGGGACGAATGGATAAAGAAGATGTGGTATATATACACAATGGAATACTACTCAGCCATAAGAAACGATGAAATCCAGCCATTTGTGACAACATGGATGGACATTGAGGGTACAATGCAAAGTGAAATAAGTCAGAGGGAGAAGGTCAAATACCGTATGATTTCCTTCATTAAGTAGTAGATAATAACAACAATAAACAAACACATAGGGACAGAGACTGGATTGGTGGTTACCAGAGGGGAAGGGGGGAGGGAGGAGGGTGAAAGGGATAATTCGGTACATCTGTATGGTGATGGGTTGTAATTAGTATTTTGGTGGTGAACATGATGTGATCTATGCAGAAATAGAAGTACAATGATGTACACCTGAAATTTTTACAATGTTATAAACCAATGTTACTGCAATAAACAAAAAATTAAAAAAAAAAAAAAAAGAACACTGAAACTGATGCCTGAATGAAGCTTATCTAACACACATCTTCTCCATAACGCATAGCCCAGCCTTCCTGTGCTTAGGAACACGAGTCAGCACTTCGGGGCTACACTGGGGGCCGTTTTAAACAGCAGATCAACAACAAAAACACAATATGTGAAGAACATGGCATTTAACAGACTGCAGAAAGGACACCGCTTAGAGGAAGAGAGCTGAAACAAGAAGCCAGACCTCAGTGGAGAACGTGCGTGTCTGATGACTCAAACTTTTTGCTGCTCTGCAAATGCCCACAAAAGTGCTGTGAGTATTGATTTTAGAATTACAAATAAACCTTTGTGAGCAGACAAACTTGTAAAAATGGAATTGCGAATACTGGGGACTATCTCATTTCTGAGTATATGTATGTAGGTGTACATGCGTGTGTGTGTGTGTGTGTGTGTGTGAAGATTTGAATTGTTTCCAGTTAGTTGTCATTACGAAAATGCTCCTATGAACATTCTCATACTTATCTTTCTTGAGGGACTTATACAGACATTTCTCTGAAGATATTCCAGCGGAGCCGTTGAAGATACATTGTATGAATTTACACTGACACCAACTGTGTATGACACTTTTTTTTGCTACACATCTTCATCAATGTGTGGCTTTTTAATTTTTCTCCTAATCCAGTAGGCATGAAATATTTACTGTGGTTTAATTTGCATTCTGTGATTACTAATAATTTTGAGCATCTTTTCTTATGGTTAGAGCCATTCTCTTCTGTGAATGCCAGCTCCTGTATTTTACTAGTCGTGCTTGCACCAATGGAAAAAAAGCTTCCACTTGGTTCTTCTAATAATTTGGAAGTTTATGCATTCTATTTCTATACCTTAGTAGTTAACCCAGAAATTTTAATATAAATTTTTACTTAAAGTTTAAAATCAGTAGCTGTTTATTATTTTCGAACTACACAAGCATTGATCGGGATTTTAAAATTTAAAAATATGAAAAATGCAGATAAAGAAAAAATATATAAATCACCCATAATACTATCACTAGAATAAACTATTGTAAACATATCGGTGAATATTATGCTAGAGTGTCAATAATATATATATGTGAATGTCACACGTTTCATCCAATAAAAAAAGATAATTTTAAGTTATATCAAAATTATATGTACAAATACGTACTAAAGAAAAAAATCTTCAACTGGTTTAAGTATTCTTAAATATTTTCGTAATCAGATAATGATTCTTCTGAATCACTTGCTGACTCATAGTTTGCAATAGCTGTGTGTTCCCTATCTAATATCACCCTCTGAGCTAACGAGAGCATTGATGATCCAGCACTTGTACAGATTACTCTAGGAATTTCTTCCGAGCTGCTTGTGAGTTTTTATTATAAGTTTTGACATCGATGCTTTGGTGATCTTACCAGAACTTATCAACAGAAGATATTCAGAAAACAGCAGCACTTACACTCCTGCCTCTAATGGCCCATAAATGGTTTGTTGACTGAAATATCAAAAGATTGAAATTGTCCAATCATCAGCAGAAACAACCACCAAATTTGCGTGTGCATAGGCCATGACTGTCATGAGGACCTCATTATGGCATCCAGGGGAAGAGACACCCTGATTTCAAAGATGTTAAAATGTGAAATAATGTGCTTCTTAGAGTTGAAGGAATAATAAATGCAGTAAATATTTACACATGCATATGTATATACAATGTGAGTATGTATTTACGTATATAAATGCAATGAAAATAAATATATTACACATGGGTACAGTTCTAAGATTTGAATTTCTCACTTTGTTAGTTTTTTAACTATGAATATATATTTATATCATGAGTTTTAACAGTATTTCACTGGTAATATTTCCTAAATTATTTCACTAAATCCTGGAATATTTAAATGATTTAACTTATCTCAATACTATGAGTTATACTGTAACGAGTATTTTTTATATTTCTTATTTCAATTTGAACCACAGGAAAACATAATTTTTTTTTTTTTGTGAGGAAGATTGGCCCTGAGCTAACATCTGTTGCCAATCCTCCTCTTTTTTTGCTGAGGAAGATTGGCCCTGGGCTAACATCCATCCCCATCTTCCTCCATTTTATATGGGACGCCACCACAGTGTGGCCTGACAAGTGGTGCATTGGTGCGCGCCTGGGATCCGAACCGGCGAACCCCGGGCCACTGCAGCGGAGGGCGCACACTTAACGGCTTGCACCACCGGGCCGGCCCCCAGGAAAACATAATTTTTGCTCCAAATTCCTCATTCTTCCAGTGAATAATTTGGAAACACCTGTAATATTGTTACCTTCACATAACATATCTAACAATTTGTTCAACACGTCTTTCCCACTGGAGTCCAAGATACAGAAGTCAATCACTGCGTCCTCAGTTCTCAGCAGAGTTATTGGCATAGAGTAAGGTATTCAATATGGTTATTAAATAATATCAGAGTTGGTGAATAAATAGCTGCGAATATTCGTGCTTTGAAAAGGCACCCATTGTGCCTCTGCTGTCATTTTATCTCTTTAATTATAAGTTTCAGTTTTAATAATGAATTTATTCATTTCTAAATAACAATGTGTGATAATCTGATGTTCTGTCATGAAGTAAGTAAATAAACAAATATACAAATACATAAATACAAATAAAACTTAGGCCCAAACATATTCGTTTGAGGCAGACATTTTAACAGTGTTTTCTAGACAAGGATAGGAATACTGCGGCTAATGCTGGTAGCAATTTTGGCATAAGTGCCTGGGAAGCCGTTGACTTTGGATTGCAACAGCCACTCAAGTGCATCCTAAATGAAAAGCAAAGGAAACTAATATTTGCTGAATGTAACGTGACTAAGGTATATACAGGTAAACAATAAATCCACCATTCAAATACAGAAAAGGACTCAAAAAACAGAAGCATCCAGGGGCCGGCCCAGTGGCGCAAGTGGTTAAGTGCGCACGCTCCGCTGCGGCGGCCCGGGGTTCACCTGGGGGATCCTGGGCGTGCACTGATGCACTGCTTGTCAAGCCATGCTGTGGTGGCGTCCCATATAAAGTGGAGGAAGATGGGCATGGATGTTAGCTCAGGGCCAGTCTTCCTCAACAAAAAGAGGAGGATTGGCAGATGTTAGCTCAGGGCTGATCTTCCTCAAAAAACAAACAATCAAACAAACAAAAAAAACCAGAAGTATCCAAAAAACTGAAAGGAGTAAAAACGTATAATAATGACATAAGCTACCCTCCTTTTCCCTCAACTCCTCCCATTTTTCTGTCTCTAACACATGTATATACACATACACACACGTGCACACACATACATAAACATACATTTATCTCCTCTAAGTATTCATCATCTCCATAGGCATCTTTTCGCTAATGAAAGTTCTTTAACAACTTTGGATGACGATTTGTGAGTATCCACAAACAATCAACTATTTCCCATTTCTCTAGATTCTATCCTTAAGGAAGATCATTTAGGAATTGCTGATTCCAGCTCCATATTAAACTAAAGTTTTTCTACCATATATTGCCTGAAACTGCGTGTTTATCCTTTGAATTGTCAACTACTTGAATTATCCCTGCTTTGTTATAGAAGTCAAGCTATTTTCTCAGATGCTACACATTCCTTTCAAAAGTTTCCTTGCTTTATGGGTGTTAGCTCAGGGGTAGCCTTCCTCACAGAAAAAAAAAAAGTTTCCTTGCCTTTAAAAATAATATGAGTGAGCTATTCTTTTTCTCCTTAATCCTCTTTCTTTCCTGTATTGTTATTTTCACAACATTCACCAGATTATCAAGGTATATGACCTTTTGTGCTCTGTTTCCAGCACATTGACTTGATTTTAATTTATAATCGTATACTCCAGGTCATGAGTCACTACTCACATACCTCTTCACTTCATCTCCTACCTATTTTGCTTCTTCCATATAAATTGACGTCTTATGATCTCTTAACTAAATCATTGAAAAGTGGACCAAGAAGCATTAACTCTTGAAAAATTCCACTTCCAAGATTGTCACCTGTTCATTATTAACAACGCTTGAGAAGTCAAGATCCAATTCATACACATTCATCGGCCTCATGTTATTTTCCTGTGCACAATTCTGTAACACTTTATACAACTTATGGATGCTGTGTCTTGTTCCTTTTATTTATGAGTATAATCAAGAAAAAACAGAATTAAAATCATAATTTTACCTGTTGACAGATGCCCACTTGAACAGATTTCTTTGGATTATGTGTGGAATTGTTGAGCCTAGTCACTATTCCTCGACGTGTGATATTTGAAGGCAACACAAAGGGAGAGAGGTAGAGCGGCTTCTGGATTATCTACACAAACAGAAAAACAAGTGTTACATGTGTAACTGGGTTCCACAAGCCTCATTAGAGCCACTAGCTTTAACTCATCCCAGTAAGTTGTGACCATGTTTTAATAATTAGCAAATTAAATATATATGTGTATGTATATATATACATATATATTTCTTTCTTTTTCAATCCGCTGATACAACTATTAAAGTATGAACAAAAGACCAAACAAGCGTGCATGAGAAAAAAAATGAAAAGTATAAAATGAAAATTAGTTTTTTTTTTTTTTTACAAATAACAGTAGATATCTACCATTATGAGAAGGAAATTTATTGGCATTCCTTAGCTGCCACTAAAATAATTCCCTATACTCATTTAAATAACCTGCTATAAAATTCAATTAAATAAAATATCCATTGACATCTGAAATAAATAGAAAGTTTCAAAGAGAATTATTAGGGGGCTGGTCTGGTGTCGTAGTAGTTAAGTTCCCACACTCTGATGTGGCAGCCCAGGGTTCGCAGGTTCGGATCCCAGGCACAGACCTATGCACCGCTTGTCAAGCCATGCTGTGGCAAGCATCCCACGTATAAGATAGAGGAAGATGGGCATGGATGCTAGCCCAGGGCCAATCTTCCTCAGCAAAAAGAGGAAGACTGGCAACAGATGTTAGCTCAGGGCTAATCTTCCTCACAAAAAAAAATGAGAGAGGGAGAATTATTAGAAATACTATCAATAATGCACATGCCCTACAATGAAAGACTGGATTGTGAAAAAAAGAAAAAATATTTTAGGTTTAGAATTTAAACTTCCTGATCAGGTCTGGGCGATAGATTACATGCTAAATCTCCCTAACACATCAAATACCTTTAGTTCAACCTACATGTGGTGCTGAGTATATAGAAACTGGTACTTAGAGTTTATTTTGTTTGGGTGAAGCATTCCTGTGCCTAGATTAAACTAAGAAAACGTCAACTGCTTCAATTAAATAACCAGTTGCCTGCCTTGCATCCAGGCCACCTATCCTGAAGTGCTGAATGGAGGCAATGCAGCCACAGGTCAAATGAGGATTGTCTGAGAGGATGAGGGAAGTCTGTGTCTAGTTGCCAAGTCAGTGAGAAACCGGGGGTGGGGACCAGAATGAAGATTGGTAACAGAATTAGAAAGTCACAGATAAAATCTGAGAAATGGGTAAGGCTGGAATTAAAGTTTTAACTTGTGCCAAGAATGAAGAGTTCACCTACATTGGTCTCCCAGGTCTGGGATCACAGCAGCAAGGAGAGGTTCACATCTGCTCTGGTCCCACAGGAGCCTTGGGAGCCTGTGTGACTCTTTTAAGCCAGGTCATTCAAGATGGCAGCTCCATCCCACCACAAGCAACTAGCCTATTCAAATGTAGAACACTTTTTATATTTTGAGGAGACACATTTTCTGTCAGTTTCCTCTGGCAGAGAGAGCTGCCCTGCGTTCAGGGCAAAGCCTCAGAGGAAAGCCTACGGCAGTCCTGAGAATTGGGCTCCGACCTGTAGCCTGTGCTGGATTATCACTACAGTCTGTGGAGGCCAGCACAGGGGCCATAACACAAGATCTTGACAGTCCAAATGCTAAATGTTCACCAACATTTCTACACAACACATCTACAAAATTCTCACAGTGCCTTAACCTGACTGGTCAATTTTCTTCCAGGAACACTAACCCGTACGTATCTGGGGCTTTTTCCAACAACTTGGCCAATAATCCAGGACTCCTCTGCTTGGTAGCTATAACTATATTAATCTATTTTATATCCCGTTCTCTACATCTATTAAACTATCATAGTATATTTTTATACACATTTATGCAGATGTACTCATACAATGCATATATTAATCTTTAGTTTTAAAAATGAAAGGTAGTGTTTTAAAATTTATGTCTGACTATAAAGTCAATAGAAGATAAACAACCCTTAAGAAAATGGGAAGGTTTGTTTAATTTGGGAAAGCAACTATTTTGGAGACTGCTTCCTAAAGTCCAGGTAGGCATAAAGCTGATTCTCTCCCATAAAAGCAGTGTTAATTATTATAGCTAGAGGCTGGGCTGTGGGACCAGCTAATTTGGTTTCTTAGCAATTCACATACATGCCACATGTTTTATGACGGGTTTTACTTAAAACAGGGTGCATGAAAAAATAAACAATGTTTTTGAGCTTTCAATTTTTTTTCTAGATTCAATTAATTATCATAATCCCATGAACTAAGAGGAAGTGGTATTTTTAATCACATTTACACACGAGGGCATAAAGGATCAGAAGTGCAAAGTGATTTTTCCAAAGTGTAATGTCCAGGAAGTGATCACATTGGTACCACGACTAGTATCTTTTTATTAGGAGCATTGTTTCTGGTTCTACTTTAACATACCATCTTGGAGGCTTCTCTGTCTGCTTACAAATATACTCCTTCAGTTTTACTTCTATGGTGAATTTCCAAATTTCAATTCTTGCACATAGCCTTGCCTGTCTTGTTTATCAGAATTCAAACACTGGTTCTTTGGAATTCTAAACCCCAATCATCCTTCAAAGTTTTTAGAAATTCATCATTATTCCAGTTTATTTACCTCTGTCCTTTCTATAATGTTTTTGACTATTTAGACTACAATATATCATTGTCAACGAAATGGTGACTTGATGACTACTGAAGACATTTGGCAATGACTACTAAAAACATTTGGCTATTTCAAGTGTTTTTCAAAAACTTATGTGGTGGGATGCGCTGAAGCCCAAGAACTTTGCCTTATCGTCTAGAGATCAATATGGGTTGACTAATCTATGGAGAAGAAGATGCGGGAAAAAGAAGTAATGAAACTATTGGCAATAGTCAAAGGTTAGACTCCAGTGTTATAGTCAAGGCCCTTTCTCATTCGGTTGTACAGAATATCAGAATGTTCCTTTATATACTTTGTGAATAATCATTTCTTCAACTTCCCAAATCTAAATCAGGATGTATCAATTTTATGAACCTTTATCAATAGTCTACACCACCCAGAAGTTTATGTTTCAAAATATAGTCCAGAAATAAGGTTCTCAGCAAACTAAGTCCCAAATTAAATCAATAGATGAGAGGAGACTATTGGCATCACTATAAATTCTTCCAGATAGCCTATAGATAAGGCATGAGTAGTTCTTCACATCCAACCTGTCAAGTGATCTATTTTCACCTAAAGGAATTAATGTGTTCCTTAAAGAATAATGGACTGGTCCTTTTGCTATTTCCTCTTTCTTGTACAAAAGGATATAGTAGTGTCGAATTAATGTACGATGTTTAAGTTTAGGTGACAACTGACCCAATTTTATAACTGGAATTAAACTGAACCACATCTTTTCTTTACCAACATGTAATTGAATTAAAATTGGAATCTAATCCTGGAAAGTTATTTTATTCTTCAAAGTGGACCATCTGTTAAATCCTATTGATTGATTTACTTTGACAATTAGACAGGAGAGATATCAACAGTGCATAGCCCACAAAATATCAGTAACAAAAAAGCTATTTTTAGATGTAAACTACGGCTATAGTTCAAAGGACTCTGAGAATGCTAATTGATACTAAGGGTCAAACTAACTAAATATGTTTCTATAATGGGCAAACTAGGAAAAATAATATGAACCAGCATATAATTATCCATGAAGAATTGGAAATGGACTTCTCAAAGCAAACAATTCGCCTGATTTTTTTGTGTGTGTGTGTGAGGAGGACCATCCCTGAGCTAACATCCAATGCCAATCCTCCTCTTTTTGCTGAGGAAGACTGGCCCTGGGCTAACATCTGTGCCTGTCTTCCTCCACTTTATATGGGACGCCGCCACAGCATGGCCTGCCAAGCGGCACGTCAGTGCGGGCCCAGGATCCGAACCGGCGAACCCCGAGCCGCCGCCGCGGAGCACGCGCACTCAACCGCTTGCGCCACCGGGCCGGCCCCTCACCAGATTTCTTATACTATACTTTTAGAATTGTTAAAAGCAATTGTACTGGGCTAAATAGCAGCCCCCAAAAAGATACGTTTGTGTCCTAATCCCCAGATTCTGTACTATTACCTTATGTGGGCCTATAGACTATTTGTGTTCCCCCAAATTATATATGTTGATACCTAATCCCTAATGTGATGGCATTTGGAGGTGGGGTCTTTGGGAGGTCTTTAGGTCATCAGGGTAAAGCCCTAATGAATGGGATTAGTGCCCTTATAAAGGAGGTCCCAGAGAGGCCCCTTGTCCCTTCTGCTATGTGAGGACATAGTGAAAAGACAGATGTCTAGGAACCAGAAACAGGGCCCCAACCAGACACTGAATCTGCCAACACCTTGATCTTAGACTTCTCATCCTCCAGAACTGTGAGAAATAAATTTCTGTTGTTGATAAACAACCCAGTCTATGGTATTCTATTTTGGCAGTCCTAATAGATTAAGATACAAATTGGTACTGGAGTGGGGTGCTGCTGTAACAAATACCTAAAAATGTGGAAGTGGCTTTGAATAATGGGTAGAAGCTGGATGAGTTTTGAGGTGCATTGCCATAAATGGACCAATAAGAATGATTCTGGTGAGAGCCCAGAAATAAAATAGGAGAGCTGTAGAGAAAGCCTCAATCTTCTTAGAGAATACCTAAGTCATCCTGAACAGAATGTTCGTAGAAATATGGAGGTTAAAGGCCATTCTGATGAGGTCTCAGACAGAAATGAGGAACGTGTTATCAAACAATGGGCGATCCTTGTTATAAAGTGGCAACGAACCTGGCTGAGTTGTGTTCATTTTCTAGTTCTACAATAGAACTTGTGAGTGATGAAATCGAATATTTAGCTGAATATTTAGCTATTTCTAAGCAAAGTGTTAAAGGAATGGCCTTGGTTCCTCCTGACTCCTTACAGTAAAATGCCAGAAGAGAGAAATGACTTGACAGAACTGTTACTCAAAAATGAAACAACTTAAAGATCTGGAGAACTCTCGGCCCATCCATACTGAAAAGAATGAGAAAATATGGTCAGAAGAGAACCTTAAGACTGTGGACAAAATAGCATTTGATAAGATTAGTCCTCATCTCAAGAGAAGCAGGAGCAATTGCTGAAGACAATGGAAGAATAACCCTGAAGACAATTCAGAAACCATCAGGGCTGCCCACCCATCACAGGCCCAGAGTGCACGGGCCCCAAGGGCAGAATGCTTTGAAAGGAGGGACCATCGGAGCCTGTGGGAACTTGGGGTGTCCTGCCGGGTGCTGCCTCACATCGTGGACTCTGCTCCCTGACTCCTGCATTGTGTTCCTTGGCTGCCCCAGGTGCAGCTCCAGTGAGCCCTTGTATGATACCATGGCGGCCATACCTCTGGAGGATACAGGCGGCAAACTTGGGCAGTGTCCACGCTCCTCCACTATCCCTGCCAGTGTGCAGAGTGCAAGGGCTGTGGGGGCATGGCTGCCTCCACCTAGATTCCAAAAGAATCCTTTTTGGCAAGCCGCAGGCTCATGATCCCATCCAGGGAGAGCCATGGACACAAGAGAGAACCACTGCAGGGTAGGGCTACTGCAGAGACCCAATTAGGGCACTGCCTAGTGGAGTCCTGGGGGCAGGGCTATCCCCAAGAACCGCTGGAGTGCAGTTCCAAACCCGGGAGAGCCATGGCCAGGGAACTCCAGCCTGAGAGAGCTGCAGCAGTGAAGCCACAGGCCCAGTGAGTCCAGAAGGCAGATCATCCAGTCAAAGAAGACCATTCTTGATCCTTAAGGTTTAATGTTGAGTTTTGGACTTACCTGGAACCCATTACCCCTTTCTTCTTTCCTATTTCTCCCTTTTGGAATGGGAATGTCTATCTTATGCCTGTCTCACCATTATATTTTGGGAGATTTCACAGGTTCACAGCTGGAGAGGAATTTGTCTCAGGATGAATCATACCTTGAGTCTCACCCATATCTGCTTTCAATGATATTTAGATGAGACTTTGGACTTTAGACTTTTGAGTTGATGTTGGAAGGAGTTACGACTGTTGGGGCTATTGGGATGGAATGAATATTTTGCATGAGAGAAGGACATGAATTTTAGAAGGTCCAGTGTGGAATGCCATGGACTGAGGCCATTTGTGTCCTCTCAAAATTCATATGTTGAAATCTAATCCCCAATTTGATGGTATTTGGAGATGGGGCCTTTGAAAGGTGAGTAGGTCATGGGGATGGAGCCCTCGTGAATGGGATTAGTGCCCTTATAAAAGAGACCCATGAGAACTCCCTCGCCCCTTCTGCCATGGGAGAACATGAGAAGATGGCCATCTATAAACCAGGAAGCTGGTTCTCACCAGACAATGAATCTGCCAGAACCTTAATCTTGGACTTCCCAGCCTCCAGAGAGCCCAGCTTACCGTATTTTGTTACAGCAGCCCCAATAGACTAAGGCCTATGGCAAAAGATGTGATGAGGTTAAGATCTTGAGAAAGGAGGGCCGGCTCTGTGGCTTAGCGGTTAAGTGCGCGCGCTCTGATGCTGGCAGCCCGGGTTCGGATCCCGGGCGCGCCCCAAGGCACCACTTCTCCGTCCAGCGCGAGGCCGAGTCCCACGTACAGCAACTAGAAGGATGTGAACCTATGACATACAACTATCTGCTGGGGCTTTGGGGGGAAAAAATTGAATAAATAAAATCTTTAAAAAAAAAAAAGATCTTGAGAAAGGAGCTCCTCCTAGATTATCCAGGTGGTCTCTAAATGCAATCACATGCATTCTTATAAGAGAAACAAAGAGAGTTTAGAGACAGACGCACAGAAGAGAAGAAATGGCAGAGAGGAAATGGCAATTTGAAAACGGGGGCAGAGCAGTAAGTGATGCAGCCACAAGGCAAGAAATGCCAACTACCACCAGCAGCTAGAAGAGGCATGGAGTGAATTCTCCCCTGGAGCCTCTTTAAGGAGTGCAGTCCTGCTGACATCTTGGCCTCGAGAAGTGTGAAAATAAATCTCTATTATTTTAAGCCACCAAATTTGTAGTAATTTATTATGGCTGCCCTAGGAAACTAATAGAGCAGTAATGATGACATCATTTTAAAAGCCATGAACCCAGCAATTCCACTTAAGGATGTTTTACTTATAGGCAAACTTGCACAAGTTTGCAAAGAATCACGTACAGGATGTCCAGGTAGCATCATTTATAACTGTGGCAAACTGAAAGCCACTAGGAAAATGGGTAAATTGTTGTGCATTTATAATGAAGTACAACACGACTATAAAAAAATGAGGCAGATCTGTATGCACCGAGATGTAATGTTGTTAAAAGCATAATAAATGCAATAAAAGCAAGCTGTAGAAGAGAAAAATATGATTCCATCCATTTTAAAGTGTGTACACATAAAGACTTATGTCCATATATTTGTATATGCATACAAATTATCTAGAACAACATGTAAAAAGCTATTAATAGTAGGTAACTTTGGCAAATAGTTACATATAATTTATATATTTTTGAAATGTTTAAATATTATAGGAGTATATCTTATTTTTCTATTAAAAACTACAAAAATGCAAAAACACCAAACTTCAGTGTGCAAATATATTTCCTTATATATTAACTAGGTATTATATACAGAATTTTCATATCTTTTTTTTTCTAATGCTTTTTTTCCTGGTAGCTAAATTTTCATCACACTAAGGTAAAGAGAAATTGGCCCCTGCTTATAGATCTTACCTAATGGTTCTCACAGTGTGGCCCCTGGCTGAGCAGCATAAACATTACCTGGTAACTTGTTAAAAATGTGAATTCCGGGGCACCACGTCCCATCTACCGAATGAGAAGCTCTGGGAAGGAGATTCAGAAAACTGTAGCCTCACAAGTCCACCAGGTGATTCTGCTGCCCACTAATGTTTGCAAATTACTGGTCTAGGCTCAATGTTTGAAAATTACTCCTCTAGGCTCTTTCTCTAATGCACCTGCCAGTGTTAGTTGTAGTAAACATAATAAACTATTTGTAGGTCTTCGGCCATCATGATGTTTCTCTGCTCCATATCCCATCTGCTCTTTCCTCCAATTGAAGTGTTCTTCAGCACTATCCCTCCCCCTGACTAACTTCTGTTATAATTTAAGATACAGATAGACATCACCTTCCCTATCTGTGATTTCTGAACTTGACCCCAATCCTAACTACCTGTGCATACTTTACGATAACATGTATATCACATAACACATACATCACACTTACTTGGCACTCTCCCCTGTTCATGAGGAGAGGATCTATATCTTATTTGACTTTATTCTCAGAACATACTAGATGTTCAATAAATATTCTTGAATGAACAAAAGTGAAAGAGAAATGAATGTCTTGAAAATAAAAATTTTTATCACTTTTGAATTAACATACCGCTACGCAGTACAGAAAAATAAAAAAACAGTTAAACACCCTTGTCTCTGAAGTCAAAACTCCCTGAATTCAAACCCTTATTCCACCACGTTCTAGATGTGTCATTTAACTTCTTAGTTTACGCAACTGTAAAATGAAGATTTTCACAGTGATCAATTAAGCATTCAAGGCTCTGTAGTAATTATTAGTAGAATTATCATCCAATAGCATTAACAGCATGCAGTCTACTCTGTTTGGATAAGAGGAGTCAGCCCAAACTTTTAAATATGGTGTCATGTTTAGAGAAAAACTGATCTGAGTGTTTTACCTATTTGCATGTTTGTAGTCTTTTCTTCTCTCCCAGAACCATAACTTAGAAAAAATACGTATGGCTCCATAATTAGGGAGGATGGCAGTAAATTAGTGAGGTTTTATTTTGTCCCCCCACCCCTTCTTCCCCCACGGTTTCAGAGCCTCAGAATCCTTTCTAGAAACAAAATCTTACTCAGAATCCTATACCCAAACCAACTGCTCTGGTTTATGGGGGCATATTAGAGACCTGGACCTCTACCTATTATCACTCCCTGACTCCTTCCCTGAAATGCCCCCTGAGGTTCCTCTTAAAATGCTTGGAATTCCTTGGAGTATAGTTGGAAAGCCATTTATAATATCTTTCTCACCTCTCATATTTAGTGACATTCTCTGCTCAACCAGGAGAAAAATGGAATTATATTTAAGATATTTGGGGTCTTCCATCTTGCATTTAGTCCAAAGATTTTCTGGTGTTTTGCTTCTTTCCTCAATCTGAAAACAAGGTCATTAAATGGTGCTAGGGAAGGGGAGTTAAAAAAAATCCTGGATGTTTCTAGGAAAATCACAGGGCCAGAGAACACCTTTCTCACTTTTCTACTAAAAAGCCCATTTTAAAAAATTGAATAAGAAAAAAAAAATCCATAAGATCTCCACTGTTCAGATTCAGAAATATGTTAGAATCTCCTAGAAGTTTCTATACAATACAATATCACTGGGAGCAGGATTAAGAAAGTACCACAGCAAGGTGAATTAACCTGGCCAGAGGCATCGAGTAATACAGTCTTCCATTTCACCAAGATAAGCTTCCCTGGTCTATTGACTTCTCTGCCCGCTTGATGGCCAAAGCCTCCTGTGAACCACTGCTCTTTTTAGAATCCGGAACATAATTAGTTCCATCTATGACATATCTCTTTGTCACTCAACACTTTGTCAGCTGTAGTCTCATGATTCTATGACGCCTGCTCCCTATCTCCCTTGAGTAATCATATTTATAGCATGGGGAAACTGAAGACAACCTAAATGCCCAATCTTGGGAAGTGGTTGAATATATTACTGTCATCCACTATAGAGACTGTTATACATACATTAAATGATGATTATGGAAATTGTGTCATAACACAGGAAATATTTTTTATTTAACGTTCAGTGAAAAAAGGATGACAAAAAACTTGTAAGATAGCAAAATTCAAAATATGTGACAAAAGAGATGTATTAAAAAGAAAATGCATAGGCCATAGTGTTAGGGTGGGGCTTGAAGGAAAAACTTATATTTCCGTAATTATACTATTTTGGAATAATACTATTATAACATCTCAGTATATAAAATACTTTAAGTTAATATTACACATTTAATTATTTACCCTAATTTTGGGTTTTATGTGTGCTTTGAAGCATATGTTAATTTTAACTCATCTATAACCGATTCAAATATGGTTATTGTAAGGTAAGACAGTGAAATTGAAAGCTGTATTTTATTTAGAGACCTTAACTCCATTTTGAAAACTTCCCTGTTTTTTGTTTTACATTGTTGTGTTTTTAATTATATCTAAATGAAATTACGAAGCTCTTGTATAAGTTGTAAAGAGGATACCCAGAGATGGTCTTCATCCATAAATTTAGATATAAATTACATTTTCTGATTACCGATTACCTATATAAATAACATTCACCGTTACCTCTTACGTTACAAGTAAGCATCACTGATTTAGACACTTGATAGTTTCACTTGCATTTTCTCATAATTCTATTTAGTAGCTGCCTCCTCCATTTTGTAGACAATGAAACTGAAATTCAACCACATGAAATACCTTTTTTTAATTCTACCTGCAGCATTTGTTTCACTCCAGGACTAGGCTCTTATAGAGTTAAAAGCTGTACATTTCCTACCATCTCCATGCTACTTTTCAATCACGAACTGCCCGAAGTGTTCCCATCACCACCCCTTCTCCACCCTACTGGATTCTCCCCCTCTTCTAATACTTGCTTTGCTTGTGGTCACTGGCCTGGGTTTTCTGCCCTCCACCCATTCCAGCTATGTGCTTCCCCAAAGACTTCAGGAGACGCTCAGTCTGGTAATTGCCAGAATACAAGGAAGACACGAAGGCTGGAGCCCACAGAAAGTTAATCACCCAGTGGATTCAGGGAAATGGCATCAGTAGTCAGGATTACGAAACTTCGAAGGGAAGAGCTGCGGAACTGCTAGGAACCTAATCGAGTTATCAGCTGTTTCTTATACTATACACTTATGAGGGAATTAAATTGGTAATTTTATTTTTTGTTCATAATTATTTGTCCCCTACCCATCCTTGCCACGCTTCTCTGCAGGCAAAGTATACTCTCTACCCACTGACTTTGGGCTAGGCCACGTGACTTGCTTCATCAATGGGTTACACGCCGATGATGTAGAGGCCATGTTCAAGAGCAAGCTTAAAATGTGTTTGCATGTTTTGAGTCTACAGCTGTAGTCCTCACTTTCCAGTATGAGAACATGTCCCTTTAGCCTGGATCCCTGAAAACAAGAAAATGTTTGAAGGCCAGGCAATCCCACCAGAGCGAACCTGAGCTGTACCTGACCCATAGCCTCCAAGTAGCACAAACAAGAAATAAATATCTATTATTGTAAGCTCTAAGGTATTGGAGTTGTTTGATAGAACAACAAAATCTGAGGTTGGTGTGTAAAACGAAATCCTAAAATAGGTGACATTGGCTTGAGGGATGGGCAGCTGGTGGTGAGGACCCTGGTGGAAGAGGTTAGAAAAATGACAGTGTATGTTAGGCACAGGCAAAATATCTGGTAAAACTTTTGCCTGTGATGTCTTGAAAGGCAGAAAATGCACACAATGCAGTTGGGGTTCTGTGACAAAAGATTTCAAGAAAGAATGTTGGTAGCATGAATTGGTTTTAATTGGCTACATTTGTAAGTTCTAGGAAAGGCAATGAGGCCATAACAGATTTAACCTGTTTGCAAGCAGGGATGAAAAGGGAAAAGGGACTATCCATGTATTACAGGACTTGCAGAGCTGAAAGATACATTTTCCTCCCATCTTTAGCCTCGAAAAAGATTCTCAAGTGAAGACACTGTCTCAGGGCAAAAACTAAATCAAAAGGTCACTAAAGCAGGAGTAAAGACAAAACCAAGGATGTGGCCTTACTATCTTCTCTTAAAATCTCTTACAGGCTTAAGTCAGACACCAGTAAATTCTTTCAGCTTGAAAAACAGTTGGGAGCAGGGGTGGAGAAGAGATCAAGGGTGTGGTCCCTGAAGATCTCATGAACTCAAATGTTCTATAATTAAGTATGTTTAGAGAGGCATGTCTCACAAAGAACTGAGAATGTTATTATTTGCACTAAATAGAACCAAATAATTTTTGAAATATTTTTAAAGGGTTATACTATAAAATGTGCTATCAGCCTGGATAGAAAGGAATAGTGACTTTTGGAAATGTAAAATGACCAAGTGATTAAAATGACTCCAATACACTGTAACTTGCTTTATGTGACATACAGAGATATAGCACAATGGAAAATTTAAATACACATATCACAATAAATGTCACCGAAGTGCTGAAACCCTTTGAGCAAGTGACATTCACACTGGCTCTTAGTTTCCTTATTTGTAAAAAGCACAGGATTAAGCGTTCTCTGAGGTCCCTTTCAGCTCATATTTGATTCTACGACACTAGTTCTATTTTACAGACTTTCTTAGCATGTGAAATAAAAACTTTTTCCCTCCTCTGGGAAAATGCTACTGCCATTCAAAAACAAGTAATGAGGAGATAGACGTTACTTGAGCAAGTTTTCCAAGATTCTAAAAACTATGGGCTGAATGACAAAAATGCTTTTGGAAGAATCATCTGAAGGAATTCTCTTATATAAACCATGCACTTAGTTAAACACAAGAGGATCCTAAAGGCCAACTGTTAGTTTCTTAAGTGTGCTTAGAATTTTACTCAATTCACAAATCACAATTTAGTTTCCATAAAAGTTATTGTATGAGAACCTCACAGGATCTGGTATATGTTTGAATAGTTCTTCATTCATCAAGATTAAAATATTGAAGCATATTTTCACATTCTTTAACAAAATATGTTCCCATAAAAGTGGGACAATTTGGCTTAGTGTTAAAATAAATCACATGAAAATATTTTTCAAAGACAGAATGAAGACAACATCTCGCATATTATATATTCAAAATGTTTTAAAGAACTATGTAATATTAAATCCTACACTATATGCTTTTAGTTCCCATATTTGCCCAATTTATATACCCTTAAATTAAAAAATTATACTATACGACTACCAAGTGGGAATCATTTCAATCATTTATTGTTTGATAAAAATATCATGTTCAATAGAATTTAAATAGTCACTAAAGATAGTATTACTAATGCATAGGAGATGACTATTTACAAACGTTCCAAAAAGTATTTCTCCTGTCAAACATATAAAATTTTATGACACTGACATCAGCGGGGACTATTAACTACAGTCATTTCTTATAAAATATCAATAAAACATGGCTAAAATAGGCAGCAGAGCTGAAAAAGATCACTTTCATCATGTCTTATGACATTCTCAAGATTCACTACAAAGATCTTCTCTAAGGAAGCCTAGCCGTGAACTTCCATAAACTCACCATTTCAAGCCCCCGTATTTAGAACCTGAATTTATTGTTATGTAACATTCACTGAACACTGATAATGAAGTTGGTGCTGACTGGAACAAAAATGAACCCAAAGTTAAATATAACCTAGATGAGAGCTACAGGAGTGGCTGAAAAATAAATCGATTGGTTCGGTCCTGCTTGTCACCTCTGGAAGGTCACCAGAGAGAAGCGTCATCCAGAAGGCAGAGAAAAGAAAAACTTCTCATTCCCTTTCCCCTTTGCTTACTGTACTAGTCCAGATGGTGAATCCCACAGAAATACATAAACAAACAAACTGTGGTCCTCTGAGAACTGATGACACACTTGAACCACAGCAAATTAGAAGCAACGGAATTATTAGAAACCTTTCGCCCTTTCACGATGCATCCATTTTTCTCCCCCTTAGCTTTCTCTTAAAGGCCCTTAGGCTGCCCTCTTTCAGGTTTGGCTGCCAACTGGGAGGGAAGATATCAATAATTCCAAGCATCATCTTGATCCTAATTTAATTTCTCTACCTTTTAATTATTTTATTAGTTTAATTTAGTTTCCACCTTGCCCTTTCCTCATATATCCTGGCATCCACCCATCCTCCCAGACCAGAGATTCTCCTGCCTGACTGGGAACCATGATGTTCATGTTTGTTCTGAGTTTCGCTGCAGCTCGGATGAAGAGCTCTCAAGGCCTGAAGCTTCCTTTACATTCCTTCACGCTCCACAAGACAGAGCTATGCTTTCTCTGACCTTTTGCTTGCCAATCCCATATACCCCAGACTGACAGACAGCCACACACGCAGCTTAGATAGGAGCAAAAAGCTGCCATCCTTTCTGCTCTGCTCACTAGAATGACACCATTCCAAACCTGGGAACAGCAGAAAGGGACTCCTATCTTTTACCTCCATCTCAAACAAATCTTTCACCCAGTTCCTTCGGGGTCAAACATGTAAAACTCATCACCAAAGTCCTTGGGGAATGAAACCGCATTAAGGGATTCCTGGGGTCTCAGGATTCTAACCGGTTCTAAGCTGGCCCCTCTAGGTGATGGAAATAATTAGACCTTTGAATCTAACCCTAACCTGAGAGGAGTTCAGACTGACCAAGCCATGTTCCTCAGGGACCTAAGAAAAAATGACCT